GGGCCTGCAGGCCTGCAGATGGTCCGCAGGTCTGGCCACGCCCTCCCCGCCACCCGCGATACATCACACGAGCGGGACAAAGGAGACGCGGCCGCGGCTGCGCCGCTCTATGGGCGTACGGAGCTCGCCGTCGGCCGCACCGTGCCGCGGCATTTGTTGTTGGCCGACCAAGCCGGCCGGCGTTTAGTTTTTGGGAGCAATCTATCACTACTCTGGGTTTGAATGGCGGATCCTCTCTGGCCTTGGTGCTGGCTGACGCTGCTGACGCGGTGCCCCGCCTGTTGGGCTCGTCTCGCCTCGCCTCCTCGGGCTGCTTCTGTGGCCGGCCGATCGGGTGTGGCGTGGCGGGCGTGGTCCCCGAGGGCGTGGCAGGCACGGTTTGGGTTTTGGCGGGCGTGGTGTGGTGCGGCGCGGCGCGCCCGGGCCCCGGACCCCCTCTATCACCACACAGGCCGTGAATGTTAATTGCGAGGGGCCCGGCTCGCTCGCTCATCCTGCATGTTGTTGTTGTCGGTGTGCATGTGTGCGCATGCGTGTGCGCGCGTGTGCATTTTTGTACGTATGCGTTCTCTGGGGCTCAAGAAGAGTGCCTTCGATGTTACGCCCCCCAAGCACACATTGCAGCAAAACTAAATGCGCACATATAGCATACAGGGTGGTCAGCAGACCCCTTCCTTTATTTTGCTTATACTGTACCGCCTGCACGCGTGCGGACGGGTTGCATACTCGCACGGGGCCATAAGGCGCCCATGGTGAGCGGCAGTAGGCCCGCCCGCACGCATGCATCGGTATAGTATAAGCAAAATAAAGGAAGGGGTCTGTGGACCACCCTGTATTTGTTATTGACGATAAGAAAGTGCAGAGAGTTCAATACCACCCGTAAAGGAATAATTTTGCTCTCCCCTTTCGTCGGGGAACACGACGTGGCGCGGACGTCTACTGTACGCTCACTCCTGTAATGAGAAGGATCTGGAATGTTCGAACAGTGTGCCCCCACTTCTTGTTCTCCTCTCCGGCTGCCCGCCCCGTTCGCCCGCCCCCCTCCACCCCGCGCCCTACAGGCTCGGCGTCCACCTCATCACGTGCCTCCGGCGTGGTCCAGGCCCTGCTGGCTGGAGCCTGGCTGGAGCCCGCGTGGGTGGCGTCCGCCCGTGTCCCGACCGATCAGCGACTGTGCTCTGGCCACGCCTCACGCCGCTCCGCGCCGTCCGCGCAGCCCCGCCACAGCTGTCTACAATTGGAACATTATCTCACTCGCACCGCGCCGAAACTGGAGACCCCCTCCCCCTTTCCCCTCAACCTTCTCCCGTCCTGTCGCCTCGATTCGCCATCACCACACCTTCCTGAGCGTTAACGCCGACACCATCGGCACACCCGAAAAATGCTGGGCGGGGCTCTTCCCTCTTCTCGATGGTTCGAGACGGAGCGGAGCGCCTGCGGACGGCGGGGTAGGCAACCCCACACCACACCCGTGCGCAACGGGATGGTCTGGGCCGAGGGCGCCCGGCCGGGCGGCCCGGGACGGTGATCGGAGAGCTCCCCAAAAAACGTTTTAAACCCGTCCGATCGGCCTGCAGGCAGACACAGACGCGAGATTTGGGCTTGAGCTGGCTGCTGCTCCATCACTGCCGAAAAAAACCATCATGCATGTCGAGGGGACGTGAGGGGCGGTGAGAGCGTTGGATAATGTGAGGGGGTGGGGAGGGGAGGGGGTACTCTGACAA